CTCTATACCCAAATTGATTTTCCCCTAATAGTTCTTCTGTCCTTTTTTCCATCCTCCTCTGTACAATTCTAGTTAAGATTTTTGACGCATGGGAAGTTAAGCTAATTGTTCGAAATGTCTCGCACCTATCTCATCTATTTCCACACTATCGTCCCTTCTCTAATATATCTCCTAACTCAGGGCCTGCGTATTGGTTCTCTAAATATTCTTTCCACCTATCTGCCTTTTCCTCATTTTCTATCAAAATCACCCCTGCCTCGTTTCTTATATTATTACTACTGTATCCTACATCTCTAAAATTCCTTTTAATTATATTATACGCCTCATCGGTTTTACCTACTTCAAACTTTTCTTCTACTTCTTTACACATCCTATGTTCCTTAGATGCCCTACACCTAATTATTTCCCACTTTATAGCTTTATTACTTTTTTGCCCTTCTTCGTCTGTCCTGTTTTTGTATTTCCGCCTTTCTTCTATTAATCCTACGATCTTATTTGTTATCCAGAGTTTCCTACTTTCGTTTTGTTTAAGACCTAGTATATCTGTAGCTGCTGACTTTAGGCATGTTTTAATGCAGTTCCATTCTGTCTGTATGTCCCCGTCATTCGTTTCTCCAGCCGCTTTTAGTATTTCGCCTGTCCTTTTATCTAGCCTGTCACGCGCTTCGTTACACTTTAGCTTTCCTAAGTCCAGACGTCTCCTACCTTCCCTCTTTTTCAGAATTTTGAATTTAATTTGGTATATCTAAATTATTAATTTAAAACTGCAAACCAACACCTACTTACGCACTGTGTAAGTAGGTCAATTAGCAATCGTGATAAATAGTGAAATCAATAATTATAATCAGCGATAGTCGAGTCAAGTCAAGAAGAGTCGAATTCAAGATCACGATGATGCGGGGCGGTAAGACGGTTAAGCTGACTCACCTTGTGATAGCTCTCTGTCATTTCTACGTTCCCCAATTCTCTAATAAGGCAGTCTATAATTATTATTAAATTATTAATTAATTATAGTCAAATTGTTGGCTAGTCATTCATAATTGTATCTTACANTTATAGTTAAAATGTTGACAAGTTATTCTAAATTATAAAATGGCTTTAAGTTATATCTCCAATTAAATAAACATATAAATTCGCTTCTCTATAACATGATGGAGGCGTCAAATAAATAAATAGTTAATTCGTCTTCCTTATGACATAAAAATTCGGTTCATTGCGACAATACTTAATGTTGTAAGTTTACGGATAATATAACGGTCCCAAACAGTTTTTAACCAATCCAGCAAACTGGAAACTTATCGAGGGAATAAAAATGACCGGAATGTACTAGTAGAAGGAAGGAATATGGAAACGTCAATATGTGCAATACCGCATGAGAAAGTTTATTATCAGTTAGTTAAGATTGAGCTAACTTACGCATGCTTCAATAACAACATATGAGGAAGTATAACAAATAAAACGTGAATGTGTAAATAAAGTTCTAAAAACCTTGTAGGATAAATGTTGATCTTTATTAACACATGCTTCGACAAAAACGTTAAAGGAACCTGAAACTAGGGAATTACGTGTTCAATAACCCTATTTATCTGAAAATCTGAAGAGGCTTCGAGAGCCTAGGCAGATAATAAATACGTAGCTTCCCGATATGCAACCTGGTCAGAGAGCTTAAAAATAATAAATAAAATTGGGAAAGGGTGCAATATCTGAATCCGTAAGATAATCTATTTATTTGAGCGCACCAATTATTATTATTAATCGGAATAATCGATTATTTCCATATTAAACGAACTAATCGATAAAACCTATGAAAGGTTGCTGGTCCCCCTATGGAGTCTCCCCAGGTGACAGATAGGGGAACGCCCCCTAGAAATTTATGGTAGGTACTAAAAAGATAAAATATCCAGGATTGATCGAAACCAGCACACAGCAACGTCTGAACCAGAACGGCTGGTTGCACATAGGGTCTATACTGCATGTCAGAGGCGGCTGAAAAAAAATAATGAAGTATACGGGAAACCATATTGCTCAACTTTTCTTAGGAAATTGTTATAGCGAAAAAACTAAACGCGACGGCCTCCAGTTTCGATTGCCCTTGGATGGGCAAGGGGTGTGATGAATCTTCCGGCTGAAAATGGTAAAATCCAAATCAAGAATCAGAACATCGAATGTGCGAATCCTATATGCAGCTGCAAAATTTGAGAATCTTGTTTAAGAAACAAACCACATGGGATTACAGCTTTGGAATGGATGATGGTGAACCAAATCACAGAAATGGACTGGGTATCTTCATGGTATCAAAACTGCTGAAGTATGTATTTATCTTTGTTCGTGCAAATGACAAAATTCTACTACTGATGCAATTGTGAGCAAGTCCATTTAACATTAATATACTCCAAGTATATGCACCGACAGAGGTGAAAAAATATGACGACGAAGTTCAATTCCTCTATAGTCAAATAGACACAATATTGAAAACTCTTAAAAACAACAAAATCATATCATGGATGACTGTAACGCAAGGTGGGTAGAGTCGTAACTTTTCAGTATTTAGGGTCCCCGGTAGTTTTTAAAAAAGTACCGGTACAAAATTACCGATCTCGTTAGTGGATCCAGCGGATTTACAACTTCAACGGACCACCTCTGTACGGGGCACAAACTGCCTACCAACCTCGATTACTTATTACTTCTTGCGTTTAGATACCAATCCAATACGTATACGCACGTCACAGTCATTTCTTAATAGTAGTGTACTTTGTAATTTGTACCGGGTAGTTGCAATATTGACATCACTAGGTAAGCGTAGCAGAGAAGACTTAGTTGGAGAAAATGGTTTCGGTGAAAGTAACGAGCGGGGCGACACACTCTTCAAATTTTGCCTAAACCGCAACATAGTAGTAAAAAATACATGGCTCAAATTACGCAAAGGAAGACCATGTTACATGTTAGGATAAGTCATATAACGTATGTAAACGTATATGTAGCATTTTGCTAACTTATAAATGTTGTAAAGCGTCGTTGTTAAGGTACTCTAGCTTCAGACTAGACTGTTACGCATCGAAAAGAATAAATGTTCAATTTTTTAAAAAGATAATTTTATCATTTTGCATTTAACAATTTAACGCAATCGGTAGGATTGTCCAAAAGGCGTGCTAAAAACTGAGCAGTGAAAACACTGACTTTCTTGGGTGAAAGTGTGAATACTATTAAAAACTAATTTCAAACCAAGAAAAGAAAGAATTCTTCCAGAAATGAATGTAGAGAATATACTGTTATTTCCAGATTGTCTTGTAAAAATTTAGGGAAATAAAAATATTTTTACCACAGCAGTAAATTCTAGTAGATTCTAAATTAAATTTCTCTGTAAACTGAACAACTCTGAAAAAAGCCCCGTGCACGCGGATTTCATCAAATTGAAGTGCATCCAAATTCGATCACTAAATCTGCTTTTTAGACCCACACGGGCCATTACAAATTTCTTCTTCTTCCTTCTTCTTCCTCTTTCCTTCAATTTTTATGAGAATGATGAATAATGTATTATTAGGTTTAACACCCACGCAATGTCTATTATATCTAGATGACATTATTGTTTTCGAAAACTCTTTGGAAGACCATTCTAATAAATTAAGAAATGTATTAAAAAGATTACGATAGCACAATTTAAAAATTCAACCAGGTAAGTCGGAATTCCTCCGCAAAGAAACCGAATGTTTAGGTCATATCGTAACAAAAAAGGCGACAAAATAAATCCCAACAAAATTGATTCAGTTAAAAGTTTCCCGATCCCTAAGTTTTCAAACGAAGTTAAATCACTTTAAGGTCTAACCGGATTCTATAGAAAATTCATCCTAAATTACGCAAAGTTAAATCATTGACCGCATTCTTGAAGAAAGACACTCTTTTTGCTTTTAACAGGAACATTTATATTCATTCAACTCATTAAAAGAAAGATTAATAACAGCAAGTATTCTACAATACCCAAACTGTAACCAAGAATTTTATGTCTCAACTGATGCGAGTTTCTATGCGATAGGAGATGTACTTAGCCAAGGTCCCATTAATAATAGCCTCCCAATAGCTTATGCGAGTAGAACATTAAATTCAGCAGAGGTTCGGTACTCAACAATTGAGCATAAATTTTTAGCCATAGTTTGGTCGGAAAAACATATCTGACCGTATCTTTACGGAAAGAAATTCATCATTATAAGCCANGAAAAACTTGGACCAAGGCAGACGGACCCGGAATCGAACCGGCGTCCTCCCGAATGCTAAGCAATGGTCTAGACCTCTAGGCCATGCCGCTCGGTGGAAAAACATATCTGACCGTATCTTTACGGAAAGAAATTCACCATTATAAGCCATTAGCGTCCTTTAGTTTGGTTATTTTCGGTAAAAGATCCTGGGTCTCGACTTGTTCATTGGAGATTAAAATTGGAAGAATATTGAATTCCCACTGAGATCATTTATAGGTCATGTGACCCATCTAGAAAATATGACGCTACCCAATGGCTGCAGAGTTTGGATATCGAAATCTAACCTAACAAAACCATGTTACCAATAAATTCAATTCAACCACTGCTTGTTCTAGCTTTAATTTTTAATTACCTTTTCAATAACTTCTTATTATTATCCTGTCAATGCAATGTTCACGTGCAATGTATAAATAAACCTGCAAGCCTGCTGCTTACTTCAGAAACACCATTTATACTAATATTACGTACCTATAACGAAGTAAAATTGTAAGTTTGGTTGTGGAAGGTAATCCGATTTTAAAATTTCTGTCGCCAGTATTTAGAATGGACCTTAAGGGTGGATGTTGGAATAAGTGTTTTCGTGGAGATCAATTTTGCAACATACGTCGACTAAAAAATGGTGGCGCAAATGTTTTTCTTACAAATTCTACCACAAGTGGTAAAGCATAAAAGGGCATGTAAAAAAATCCCTGACAAATATATCTACATGTTAAGGTTAATTCACTGACAGATAACATATGGCTCTTATAGTTACTAGCTGAATTCCAATTGGGCGAAACCGCTAGCACAGCTAGTACAAACTAAAAGGAAAAATCAACTTTTTCTAAGGCACGGTAAATCATTCGGAAAAGCAGTATCTCAAGGACCATGTCAGATCAAGCTGAAAAAACGCACAAAACTCACAACATATCTACATCGGCCGTGAATGCCTAAGAACTACCTATAAACTTATCAACGAAGAGAAATTGCGTTTATGACGTTATCAACGAATCACACTAAAAAGTAAGAGCAACAGCACATTGAATTCAGATGCTAATATTTATTTATTTACTGCATGCATTCCACTCAATCTCCTAATAGTGTTACTATACATTCTCTTGTTGATACTTTCTAAGGTATTGATGTTAATGTACTCATAGTAGACGTTGTTCATTGAATTACTTAAATTTCTTAAATTTTAATATTAAACTCTCCTTACCACGTATTGCAGCTGGGAAAGGATTCCCAAATTTTTCGATATATTCTTCTTCGTATTTTTGTTGGTTAGATTTGCCTTTGTATAAGATCGAAACAGCTCCTTTAGCTCCCATTACTGCAATTTCAGCGGTCGGCCATGCATAGTTTACATCACCTCGGAGATGTTTAGAAGCCATTACATCATAAGCACCTCCGTAACCCTTTGAAAATTCACAATAGCATTTTTCAAATTATAAATTCGGGTAATTATGTAGAATTGGAGTCCCAATCAATTTTCAGCACCAGAGAAATATCAATCCAAAGAAATGCTTTACCTTCTTTCTTTATTACTTTTTCCAATTTCTTCCCCTAGGTTAAGTTATAAATAAAGAATCAGAGCCAATGGGGTTAATGTTTTATTTATTGATTTATTTAAGTATGGAAGCTTCTTCAAAGGCAGGTTTCCAGGTCAGTTTTCAAACTTATATAAACCACAAGTTTGACAAGTTTAATTGTAGATTTGTTCGTCTTTATCGACAATGTATTTAAACTAGTCACTTAATTTATACCTTCGTAGTTGTTTCTATCCATGATTTTAACTATTTATTTTACGTATTATTTTATTTATATTGTGCGTCGTTTTAACTGGACTTTTACATAATTTTTACTGTGTAAATTACTGTGCCCGTGGATATTCACCAACCTTGTAGCGTTATATAAGCTAAACTTCTGTTATGTACTTAACTGACCTAGACACCTAGGTCTGGATTCATGAATTATTCGATTCTTATTAGTGTTTTTAATAATTGTAGCCTTTGAAGAAGCTCTATACCTGGCGGCGAAACGTT